TTCCCTGGGCCACGGTGCCGTGTCGTCGTGGCCAAGGTTTCCACTTAGCTTCAAGGTATCTCCTCGGTATCAGCCTTGGATACCTCTGCTCAAAATCCCACTCTTTACCTTCAAATATTATCCCTTCAGGTGTAACCTCATGAACTGCACATGCCCTTTTATAATTACACATCTCGGCATCTATCGCGGTCATACGGATCTCAACGTTCGCTGTACCGAGAACAGACCTAAAATGGCAGCGGTGAATCTCCTCCTCTAGCTTTTGGCCACCTTCCAAGAGTACATGGAAGGTATGGCCCAATGGTGGCTTCTTGGCTCGTCTCCATCCGTATTCAAGACCACTGTTTATAGCTTGACAAAAGTAAACGATCTCTGGACGTTTCAAGCCTTGCATTTCATTGCGTATATTTAGCTCCGTTGTGACGAAATGTGACCTCCCGGCGTAGGAGAATGTGGTGAAGTGCACCACAAGGAACCACGTTAGGGTTCTTATAAATTTATCAAGGTTAAGCGTCATTTTTGCTCTCTTGTCGTGATAATTTGTGTTATGTCGTTTGCCTTGGGATTTTGAGATTTGGTTTGTTCTTCATTCTTCGTTTTAAAAAAAAAAAGTTATTTAAAAACTGAATCTGTTGCAAAGTCCATATAATTATTTTGTTATTTTCATGTGAACAGCTTCGATATAACAATAAAAGCACCATAAATAATAGTACCATGAGTAACTTGAATAACGGAATCGTTACTTCGTAAAATTTAAGTTTTTAGTTGAAAAACTGTGTACAAACCAGATTGTTTCAGAGTCTAAAACATTCAAAGTATTATATACGTGATTTTGTGATTTGGTGTTCTTATATTTATCTTAAAAATGTATTTATTTTTTTTTTGACAAAGATTTATCTTGAAGCTTGGTTATTCATTAGTATATTTTATCTTCAAAATACATTTTTGAAACGATTGGTTTGCTTAAATAATTCTGTTCCATTCATTAATAGAATTGCTGTCTTTAAGATGTTTAGAACATCATTATTGAGGTTGATTAGGTTGGATATAGATAAACAAACATAAATTAAAAATTATATTAATATTTAGTTAAAACTTTTAGTATAATTTTTTTACTGCAAAATGGAGTGGAGAATGGAGTAATGAAGAAACAAAAATCTCATTACTCCATATTTGGAGTAATCACTTTTTTGCTTCTTCATCACTCCATTTCCCACTCCATTTTGCAGTAAATTATGGAGTGGGGTTGGAGATGCTCTAAGTAGTTAGAGATTGGTTAGAGATCTAAGCATTTACTTTTTGAAAATAGGAAGTTGTATGTTATGATAGTTTTGTAACATTCTTTATTTGTTATATGCTTGTTGACTTGGTTGATAAATATAGTGACTATCTTGACCGTAATAAATGCTATCTTGTGTCTTACGTTATGTGCATTTCATCATGTCTCATCAGAACCGTACAAGTCACCTAATTGAAACCTTAGTATTGTCATAATAACATCTTATGAATCAACTAAAACCAATGTTCAAGAAATCGTTAGCCAATGACTAGGCGGGTGTCTAGACAGATTTTTTGAACACCTAACCCGATTTTTTTTTAAATGGTTCTGGAAAAATTGTTTCATTCATATCTGATGTACTGATTAGGCAGACATCTAAACCAATTTTTAGAACATGGACTAAAACAGAGCAGTGTACATGTGCAAACCACTCAAGGCATGATTCTCCTAACTCTATTCGATCACTTAGCAAACTGTGGTGGCTCTGGACTCTGGTAGTCACAGGTTTGATGAAAGTGCCCTCTTGCCTCATCATCCAAGCATAGTTCGCTTTCTCCCACGTTGCCTCACTACATAACCAAAGAAGACACTCTTTAAGGATCTGGAAGAGTTGTTCTATAGATGAGACATGGAAGAGGATTTGATAGAACTTTGGGCCATCTTGTTAAATGTGGCTGACCATTGCTTTGAGGACTTCCTATACAGAATTCATTAATACTATAAATTCACCCCAAATTTATATAAAAATAACACAATAAGATCTAAACTTTACAGAAAATTGGGAAGAAACCTTTTCTTTTACATGCTTTTAGGCCATTTAGTAAAACGAAGGTTCAGCATTTTATCAGTTAAAACTTGTAGTATATATCTTCTCTTGTTTCTTGCATTATACATGTTTTACAGGTTCATAACTTCACACTATAACATGTCTCCACTTGAACGTCAACATGATACTTGTATGTTGTGAAAACCTAAAGATAAACTTTACAAGTAATGTAAAAAAAAAAAAAAAAAACTTTACAAGGAATATGTGAGACACTTTGGTTTCGAATTCTAACATGAGCCATTATATTAATTTAACATTAAATTTATAAATAAATAAAAAACACCACCTCAAATCATATGTTTGAATGTACAAAGCTCTTTGTCATATCCATACGTTAGCTTTCATCAGCACGAGTTAAACCAACATCATTACCTAAGTTCTTTAACCGAATAAGCAGTGGGACAACATCCTTCCCAAGATCCGGTCTATCTCTTTTCCTAAGCTCAGCACATCTCAACGACATAGCTGCAAAAGCTTGAGCCTCTTGTAAAGGCCAATCCGGCACGGTCGGATCAAGCATATCCTTCAAAGTTCCTCTACTGATCGCCCTCGAGACATGATGAGCCAGCCCCATGGGAGGCCTTGCGGTTATGATCTGAAGCAACATTATCCCCAAAGAGTATATATCTGACTTTGTGGTCAACATTCCTGTCTGCTGGTACTCAGGGTCTATGTAACAAAATGTCCCCGCTGCTGATGTCATATGGTATTGTGTGACGTTATTAGCTACTGATGCAGGGACTAACCGCGCTAAACCAACGTCACTGATCTTGCTCACGTAGTTTTTGTCTAGGAGTATGTTGGCCGGTTTGAGGTCACGGTGAACCAAAGGTTCTGGTTTAGCTTGGTGGAGGAATGATAAGGCGGTAGCAATCTCTGCCGCTATTTCGAAACGTTTCCTCCAAGAAAGCGGTTGAGATTTTCCTCTTCGGACTAGTATGTCTTCTAAGCTCCCATTTTCCATCAACTCATAAACTAAGCATCCGTATTCTGGACATGCACCAAGGAGAAGAACCATGTGAGGATGCCTTATGCTACTTAGAACTTCAACCTGTAACATAAGAGTATAAAAATCATGAGATTAATGACATTTATCAACTAAATCCCTCACCAAAAATAATATTATTTTACTAGAATTTTTTTTTGAATTAAAATATTATTATTAATGAGAGACTAGGTTAAAGATTCATACTCCCTCCGTTTCACTTTATTTGTCATTCTAACTTTTTGCACACAGATTAAGGAAATATTTAATTTTACATATTTCCAAGATAAAAATACAATTATATATACACCTAACCACTTTTCAACCAATAGAAAAATAGAATATTATATAAAACTAATAAATTTTGCTTCGAAACTCTAAAACTACACTTAATTTGTGACAAACAAATAAGCCTAGAATGACATATATTCTGAAACGGAGGGAGTAATAAACAAGCAATCTAGGGTAACAAGAAATATAAAAATAGAAAACCCTACCTCTTGTTGAAATTGTTTTTTTCCTTGAGCAGCATCAGGTCTCAAGACTTTAATGGCAACAGGAGTATGATCAAGTTCACCTTTGTAAACAGGTCCATAACCTCCTTCTCCAATTTTTCTATGATTTGCAAAATTCTCGGTGGCTTCTTCAATCTCTTCTATGGAATATTTTCTGTAACGAACATCGTTATGTGCCAAAGCACTCATTGCACGGTCTTTGTCCTCTGATTCACTTCTTGCTTTGATCTCTGCTTGCTTTCTTCTTTGTCCTTCCAGCTCTGCCATTCTCTGAGCTTTCTCAGCTGCCTCTAAGGCCGTTCTACACTTTGCCTTCTCCATTTCTGCCACTGCTAATGCTGCTTCTTCAGATAGCTTGGCTTTCTCGAATTTAAGAGCTTCTTCCATTTTCCATTGATTTAATTCGTTTGCCTAGGAAAAAAAACCATAAATATCATATACAACAAGACAATTATTCTGTTTCTTTTTTTTAAACTTCTTCTAATTTAATACATAAGTTTCAGAAGAAGAAAAAATTTGTTTCGAATTAGATGACATTTCAATTTTATAAATTTTTATATTTTTATAGTTTTATAGTTTATTGGTTGAATTGTGATTAAGTAGACACTTAATTATGTTTGTGTAAATATACAAAATTAAATATTTTTTACTTTGTAAACCAAAAAGTAATAAAAAAACGGAGGGAGTATGATGTTTTAGATATTTTGATTTTCATAATTTTAGTCAAAACAACTTAATTAGAAAACTGATGGAGTACCTTTCTTTTTGCTGTAAGTGCTTCTTTACAAGCTGAGCTATACATATCCATAGTTTGCTTTAGTTCAAGCTTCAGCCTCCTCATTTCAGCTTCAATATCTTTCTGTAAATAGAGTACCAACCAAGGACTTATGAGTCTTAATCCTTAAAACTCAGAAACAAAATCATTCAAAACAAAACGTACAGTTGATTGAGGATTTGACTCCTCTGAAGAACATGATGCACCATAAAAATCTGAATTATGAGAAGAGACATCAACAGAACTCCTCATCCCACCTTCAGATTCATCAGAAAACGAACTTTGTATCGTGGGGTTCCTTTGGAACGCAACTTGTGTAAAGGCATTGTTGTTGAAATCCATCGACCCATTTATTGGGGCTTTGTATCTTTCTTGCGTGGGGTTGAAGGCACGATTCTGTGGATATATCTCACTAGGTTTTCTTCTTGCACTACGTTGGCCCCTAAAATATATATAATGAGCAAGTGATTGAGTAAAATGGTTAAACACATCAAATATATTTATTTAATAAAAGCATAGGCGGTTGTCAAAAAAAATAAAAATTAAAAAATAAAATAAAAGCAGAGGTGATCCTAGGCAAAGCCGGATAAAATATTATTATTGATCTGTAATTTTTTTGAAAAAAATTATATATACATAGACCCCCGAAAAAATATTTTAGGTCTCCAAATCCGTTAAAATTTTTTTTACGTGAAATCGTTAAAAATCGCTTTAAACCTCTAAATCTCAGGACCGATTCTGAATAAAAACATTCATAGTGAGAGTCTCCCATCATAAACTTCTCAGAAAATTAATACTATTAAAAATTTCTTGAAAGTTTAAGAGATTTATGTCAAATCTTTTAAATAATAGGAAAAAAAAAACAAAGATTGGTTTACTTACGTAGGCACAGGATCTTGCTCGCTATCGGACAAAGATTGGATTAGAAAGCCAGAGGAGGGTACACGAGGAGGTGCAAGTGTGTTGGTAATAGGTCTTTGAGCTGGTCTAGAAGACTGAACTTTTCCTTTAGAAATTATGTAGACCGAACAAAAATCAGGTATCGATTTCATTACGGTAGCTTGCACGTCGTGGTGTTTACTAAACATAAGAGACCTAGCAAATGTGTATGTGTTCTTAGCGGTTGCTCCCAACACA